CCAACGTTGGACCCAAATAGATCACATCGCTATCAGCCACCGCTGGAGGGGCTCTATAGAAGACTGTCGCTCATTCTGGAGCACATGCTTAGATTCAGATCATGCTCTAGTACGAGCGCGTATCTGTCTGCGTCTTACAGGACGTAGGAAAGACGCTGCAAGGAAACCTTCTAGGGCCCTACTTAATGATAGTCAAGCTAAGAGTATATTTCAGGAACAACTAGGAAAACAGTTAGGCAGCCATGTATGTGATGCCCACCCCTAGGCAGCATGGAATGATATCCGAAAAGCTGTGGAAACAGCAGTGATATCTGCTAGTACGGTAACCCGTAAAGTTAGGGAGCAACACTGGATCTCAACAGCATCTATCTCACTGATAGATGCTCGGAAACTCATTCCACCTGGCTCTGAACGTAATGAAGAGCGGAGTCAGCTTAAGCGCAAGCTGACATTTCTCTTTTTTTGTATTCGTTACTGTGTTTTTTTTGTTGCGTAAGCAACTTGTTGAAATAACCTGTGCTGAGAATTCTATATTGTACCAAAACTATAATATTGAATAAAGCCATTAATAATAATAATAACAGTGGTGGGTAGCGAAAGCAAGAGAGATGGGAAAGGAGCGGGAATAGGTAATAGCAGACAATTGTTCAGACTTGTTAAGGAAACCGACTGTTAGCGAAACTCTCTCAGAGAAAGATGGACATATTATACATTCTCAATCCAGGAGATTGGATCGATGGGCAGAACACTTTAGGGATCAGTTCAACTGGCCTTCAGCCACACTTCGGTTTCCCACGATCTCCAGTCAACCTGAATGGCAAGTTAATGTAGGTCCTCCGTCTCTTTACGAAGTTGAAAAAGCCATAGGAAATCTGAAGCAAGGGAGAGCAGCAGGCCCTGACAGGTTTACTCCTGAAATTTTTAAGGATGGTGGTTCAGTATTAGCAGTGAGATTAACTGAGGTCTTAGGTAGAATTTGGGAACTGGACGTAATCCCATCTGATTGGTCTCAATCACTGATTGTGCCAGTTTTTAAGAAAGGACAAAAGTCCTCTTGTGACAATCACAGAGGAATCAGTTTGACTAATATAGTGTCTAAAACATTAGCTTCAATAATACTTGGACGCCTAACCAAAGCTCATGAAGAGCAGACTAGAGAAAATCAGGCTGGTTTTCGACCTGGACGTGGTTGTATAGATCAGATATTCACACTACGTCAGGTTCTAGAACACAGACACACGTCCAGACGCCCCACAATCGTAGTATTTCTCGACATTAAGGCGGCATTCGACTCTGTTGATCGTAAGGTTCTATGGCAGTTTGTCACTGAAAGGAGTACCAAAGAAGTACATTAACCTTATACAGGCTCTCTACTCGAACACAACTGGTAGAGTGAGAGCTTATGGCGAACTGTCATCAGAATTGATTACCTCAAGTGGTGTTCGTCAGGGCTGTCCACTCTCTCCATTCTTGTTCAACTTTGTCATTGACGCACTTTTAGAGATAACACTTTCCTTGTCTAGATTTCCAGGGGTTGAACTTCTACCAGGAGGTTCACTTGTTGACTTAGAATATGCTGATGACATAGTCTTATTTGGCGAAGACGCTGACAAAATGCAGAGTCTTCTGACCACTCTAAGCAACAATGCAAGCATGTTCGCGATGCGATTCTCCCCCTCGAAATGCAAAATGTTGCTTCAGGATTGGGTTGCATTGACACCCGAACTAATGATAGGGAGTGAAGTATTTGAGCGTGTCGATCACCTCACTTATCTTGGAAGTCTCATCAGCCCTTGTGGTCTGGTGTGTGACGAAATCTCAGCACGGATACAGAAGGCTCGATTAGCTTTTGCCAACTTGCGTCATTTATGGCGTAGGCGAGCTATACGTCTATCAACCAAAGGTCGTGTTTACTGCGCAGCAGTTCCTTCCGTCCTACTTTATGGCAGTGAAACATGGCCGGTAGGAGTAGAGGATATTCGTAGGTTACTAGTATTTGATCATAGGTGTCTTCGAAATATTGCTCGTATATCCTGGGACCATCGAGTAAGTAAAGCAGTTGTTAGGAAACGGGTACTAGGTAAGGATGGCAAATCAATTGATGAAGTAGTGGAACTTCATCAGTTGAGATGACTGGGACACGTGTTACGTATGCCCAACGACCGACTTCCTCGACGTGCGATGTTCAGTCGTATAGGAATAGGTTGGAAGAAAGCTAGGGGCTGCCAGACCAAAACATGGCACAAGTCCATGAAGTCACTAACAAGTGAACTGAACCATGTTGGTAGGTGTAGACTACCTGGTTGGGATCCGCGAGACAATAGCAACCGATGGTTAGAGACCCTGAATGACATGGCTCAAAATCGTTTGCAATGGCGCAGGTGCATACACTTTGTGTTCTCCCAAATTTTGATCTCCTTATTCCTCCCTGTCTCTTTTTTTTCTCTTCCTAAATTTATTTCACTGTATTATACTATTTAAGTAACATCTCCAAAAACTAATCTTCCCGATTACTGCTTATACTCTTATTACCTCTACCACTACGGGATTTGAATCGACAACTGCATCTCTGTGCTAATGTGGTGTAGCAACTCGAACTGATGTACGTACGTACGAGGTTCTACGTTGTTACTGACTGACTTTGCAAAAGCTCCGGAAAGCGCGACTGCATAAACTCATGATGGAATAATAAGTTTTACCTTTTTGAATTCTTCCTTCATACTTAAGTTTAAAACTGTGTGAAGAAAGTGGAGGATGAGTCAATTGACCTTTTTTATGTAACTTCGATGTTTCTATACATTTTCCACTAATAAATCTGAAATTATGGATAGCTGATTTATACTTATCAAATCAGAAGCCCATTGTTTATGTGAAAATATCCGTAATTTCTATGTCGTAAGTAATTACAGTGGCCTGAATAGCAACATTGTAGACTTAATCGTATACTATAACACAGCTACTTTATAATTTACGAATGATGTTGTAGCATGTTATGGTTGACAATGCAAGAACTGTCATGTTATTATCGTCTTTACTTATGTATCAACGATCGTAAGCATTTAAATATTTTTGAATTATATTAACAACCACGATTTATATCTAATTGTCCGTATTTTTGGATCAAACCAGGTAAACTTATATTTGGTTACTTCTGTATGAAGTAAACGGGGAGTGGAAGCAAACTAAACCAGTTATATACCGAGTGTCCTCAAGAAATACTTCTATAGCTAAATAGTAAAAAGCTACTAAATGGGATCTCCAGTAGATTTAATTACATACAGTCCCGCTGCTGCACAACATAACCTTGCTTTGATTAACTACTGTCGCATATCTATCGCGGCACTTTCTGGATGTACAGTCGGGATATTAGGTTTGACAGGTAAGATTATTATTAATACCTTAATGCAATCTGCAGGAATCATGGGATTTATGTTTTATTTTCTGGCGCATGGCTTCCTATCATTGTTACTGTTACAAAAGGCAGGAAAATCGTGGAACAAATACTTTATTCAGCGTTCGTGTTTAACGTATGGAGGGGTTTTCGGAGAACTAACTACTTATATTTTATTTTGGACTTTTATTTATGGCATGGTTCATGTATATTAAACATAATCTAAATATATTGACCTATTTTGCTTAATCTTAAATATATTTTGAATAATGGATCATAGAAGGACTTCAGTATGTATAATATTTTAGTCTACCAAGAGGAACTCATTAAGAAAACGTCTGTTGATGTAAATTGTGTTTAAATGGACAAATACATAATAAATAGATGATTGGTTTTGAATTTCAGTGACATTGGCCAGTGTACAGATGCGTTTGGTCTCCATTTGTATATTGACCTCACTCTCAAACTAAGAGCTGAAGCATTACGAAAGGTCTCAATACTGAGACACGTAGGAAAGTTGTAGTCAAGCAAATATAAATTTCTGGCTATCATTAATGCACAAATCGAATGACAGTGTGGCGCATATATATCTGGTGATCCTTTGTACCAACGCTTATGCGTTCAAATAAATATCGCCACACAGGAGTAAGCCCGACTGATGTAGACGTTGAGGTGCTAGATTTCGTAATCATCTGGCGCTTGACTAGGATGCAGAAACAGTTGACCCAATAAGGCTAAACACATAACCATGATTATAGGTGCATTGACTAAAACGTTATACTGCATCAGATCCCCAGATAGACCAGTTCCCGCTCGGCTGTAATTATATTCATGTATCCGGAGTCGTTCAAATTCACTGATCGCGAGACATTGAAAGAGATACCAGTCACACACATCATTTCTGCTGAAGGCTATTTATTTGGACAATTGTAGTCCGATTAGATTTTGTACTCAACTAATATTTGGATCGATTACATTGCCGGGTATTAGCTTTCCCTTCTTTGTAGAAAATATTGTCATGGACATACTTCTAAAGGTAACACGTTTTTCTCCCAACTTCTGAGTATTTGATCTCTTATTGGAATTCACTCATAATAGACAGTAATCTTTTGGCGAAAAGGCTGGCAAATTAAGGTTTTATAAACACTTGAGTAATAGTACATGAATATTTGGGGTTTCAGGTGTTTAGAAATAGTCAGGAGGAACCTCTGATTCAGATGCTTTTTCACCATCCAGATGGGAATTCTCGCCACCTCATCACTGTCCAAAATCAACAAGATAGTCAAAAATAGCTAGAAACATTAATGGATCTTAGAACTTTTACTAGACCTGGTGACTTAACAACTGGTAGTGTGGTAACTTGGACCGACACACATTTTTACAAAGTCCTACGTTTTATTTGCTGAAATGATGGCTAGTTTGGCACAATAAGACTTGGAAGACCTGGGTTATTTTCAAACAAGGGGAACGACTGTCATTCAGAGGAGGTTAGGACGTAAATTTCATAATTTTATTTCTTCCTATCCGGAATGGTAAGCCCGACTAGCGAATTCACCTGCGTATGTCAAGATTATCCCCGAAGATATAATACGAAGTCATTTTTAAATTTAACACTTCAATATAATTTTGTACAGGAGAGACAAATGAAAGTACAGAACTTGGGATTTGGCACAAATGGATACTGATTTTAAGTTGCACGGTATTATATAAGCACAGCAACAATGTAAAGGCAGCATAAAGGACAACTAAAGAGTGAAGGAGATAAATAATAATACTAACAACGAACTCAAAGAATGAGGACGTCAAAAAGGAGGCAAGTGGAAATGAAAATCACAATAATAATATTGATAGAAAGACACAAACCACAATATACATGTTTACTTATGGAAAAAAATTCATTGAGTACAAAGTTAAGTAGAAGAACTAATTAGTTAATTATCGTCATCTTCGGAACTATTCGACTCGTCATCTGTCACAGGTTCAGGTATTGGGAAGCGCAATATTGCGGCTACACCTGATAGTTGGTTAAGCTCTACAAATTTTTATATCATCAAATTCAAAAAATAAAACAAAACGGTTATGACGTCAATTAATAATGAGAAGTGGTTTAATTATTAAACTTAATATTTGATATACGGAAATTGATAACTGGTGACATATAACAATTGGACAGAAACAGCTATTGTCACTTAAGAGAGAATGTCCCGGCGTTTTTATAGATGGGTTCAGAATAAGCGTTTCATTAATAGTTATAAACACCAGGAAGGTTGATAATAGACGATATACCCGTTTTCCTATTAAACGTAAGTATACTGCAGAGAAGATTGTTGTGTATTATCTCATGATTGTCAGAAGTGATCTTTAAAGGTAGAAAGCATGTCGTAGCTTGCTATTATTAGATCATAGACGTTTTCCAAGCATTGTCCGCATACGGTGAAGTTACGGAATGAGTAATATTAGGATTGAAGGAGGATTACAACATAAGTAGCGGTGAATATGTTGGTGACGGTTCAGAACTTCATCAGGTGAGGTGGTTGGGATATTTTATGCATGATCAACTACAAACACAGTTTAGCTCTCGCATGAACAGTACACAAAAATTATTATTACTATTATATTAGGTAAGAGTATGTAACAATAAAAAAAGAAACTTACGTTCACCAGAAACATGTAGGCTTGAAAATATGCGTACAATGCCTTGATTATCTTTAACTTGGTCAACTAACTCCACATATTGTTTTCTTTCTTCTAAATTACGTGAACGGAATAATGCATCAGTTATCAGTAGTGTATCAATAGCGCATGCATCAGCAGCCGTCTTAACATGTTTGTAACTGAATTTACGTTTGAATTAGATAAGTAAAATGAATAAAAAAGATTGAATGAATTAACTGAGAAAAACAAATGTAAGATAGTTACTACTACGAATATTGTTTATCCAACTGTTATAACTTGTGACCGCCGATTAGAGGACAGTGACTTATTGATCGGACCAATGACGTGTATACACGTGCGAGCAGTCTAGAGTCTTGATTGGTCCTGCTTTCCACCTAGCCCAGCCAGTTAAGTCCAGAACACCAATCCGAGCCTCTGCGATATGAATTATTATATTCCAAACGTACTGAGTTTATATACCAACCAAACAGACCACAACGTACCATAAAATAGAAAATAACATTTGTACAAAATTTGGCCAAATGTGGCTGTGAATGTGAGAGGCAGTGATTAATAAACAGGGAATAATTCAAGAATGCAAAATCGTATAATAACAGTTCATACATTAAAATAAAGCTTATGATAAGAGAGACATGGATATGAGTACTTTAGTTAATTAACAATTATACGATAAAAATATACGTATAGTATTGGTCCACAAATGGGTCCCAAAAGTTACCATTCACTATTCTTGTCGGGACATAACACCAACAAGCAAGGTATCAACAAGTTCCTAAGGGTATTTTCTAAAGATTTTAAAAATATATAGTTTAGAGACGGTAGCTATCACTTTCGAAATAGCCAACTCAGGTCATAGACTCCTACCAGGACCTAAACAGGGTTAGTCTCGGTGATTGGTCACCAATGAGCAAACGATTACTGGTTATTAACCTAGTTGCCCTGTAGAAATTTGTATTTCCTGTACGTCATAGATAGTTAGAGGTAGTCGAGAGGAAATCCATGACCTAAAGTTTCTGTTGGTTGGAACTCGTTAGGTCTTTAAGCACTGATGCTCACCGTGAGATTCTAACCAGAGTTACCCAAATTCATAGTCTGGTACATTACTACTGAACTATTCAGGGCACGATTGGCCTTTCGTAGAACTGAGATATATTGCTTGACCACCGAGTGGTGGCCAACGTCAAGTTTTTCTAGATCTCAGTGCTCATTGAATTATATCGTTAAGGTTACTATGAAGTGAGGATTGCTCCAAAGCATACATATATTCACTTAATTAAAAAATATGGATTACTGGATACCAACTCAGTCATTTAAATGTGTCGTGCTCTCTACAAGACTTGAAGGTCCTATAACAGTGAACGTGAACAATAGCTGGGACAACCAAATGTATTTTAACACGTTACTAAATTTCTTAGTAAAATCTGAGAACCATACAGTAAATACTTCCTTTGCAGAATATCCACCAATTGTCTCAGACTTTGTTGTCCCTTTTCCACACCAGTTATTCTCTGTTCTTGTTCTCTTTTTCTGATCTTTTTAACCTTCTGCCTTCAGGCATTTTACTTTCAATTGATGATATATACTACTTATATCTGTCGACATCAATAGCACACATCACACTGTGACTAAATCCTGTATGGATGTGCATTACTGAGTAGCTCTACACTAGGATGAAACAGATTTTATATGGTCAGTGATTTTGAATGGTTTACTAACTGATGACAGTTTATGACAATGGAAATAATCATACGATCATTGAAGTAGTCAGACTCTGTTTTGTTAGTCTCAAATATTTGACTTACTGATTGAAGTAATATGAATTTGTTATGAAATGGGCATTTTTGCATGGTTATCTTGATAATGTTATTGACCCTATTTTGATGGATAATACTGTCAAGTTTTAACATGACTAGAGCATAACTGAATCCCTTTTGTTATATTCAGGACTGTAATACTCTCAGTGTTCAACTGGTTTAGGCTTGATACACTGACATCCCAAATCCTATGACGTTTAGTGAAAAACAAAGACTGGTGCTAAGGATTTATTCGACCTCAGAAATAAACCAAAGTGGCATATGTATACACTACATTCCGTATGATTTATTTCGGCCGGATTAATTCAGATTAATGTAATTTGACTGAGTATTACACACCATTCGGTCAATAACTTGCTATATGGACTCATATTTGCGATATCATACTAATCGATTTTCGCAGACTTGATTTCACCCTTTTGACAATGCGATGTCACATCTAACCAGAGAATTACTAAATAATATTTCACGGTGTTGAAGTTGTTTACAGAGATATAGGTGTGCTAATAATTTTAGATATTGAGATTAAATTACAGACAGTAACTTTCTCAATTTGTGACTTTATTGACCTTTATTAGTTCAAGATAAATACTGGTTCATATATTTCTCAGGACATGGTTGGATGGAGAGTGCTGATAGGCGGCATATGCTCCTCCACGAGGAGTAACAGGCGTAAGTAAGTAATTGGTCCATATAACTATGTACAATTCACATCTACAATGGAATATCGATGTACGCATTTCAAGTGCAAGGGAAATTCTTTATGATATTAACATGAAATAGATGTCCGACAAAATATAAGCGGGATGTCAACTAGCATTGATATAATTTACTTACCAAGGACAAGTTTATTTACTCAGAGTCGAGTTAAATTTTACTTATATGAATGCTAGTAATATTACTCAGCTGTATAGATCAAGGTATTATAAAGTGAAGTTCAAACTTGAGACCTAAAGAAATCAAGTGCTTTAATCAATAATATCACAACTGTGCATTTTCAAGAAGACAAATGATCTTCCTGTGACAAAACAATTTATGAAACTAAACTGGTTGTGAAGACTTTAAAAGTTGCCTTAAAATTCTCTTCCTTATACATAAATCATACGACTATGTTCTACAAAATATAAACACACTAATGATTCCTAACAGGAAGATTAGTGAACACAACGACTCAATTACTATGAGAAATTTAAAGTGTATACATGTCAGAATCTTTCTGATATCTAAAAAAACACTTCCAAATGTGGTAATACGAGGTAAAGGACATATTTATACTGGGGTTGTCTTATGTTATCTACAATCGACTGACTGGCTGATCATTATATACTACAAATAAAAGGGAATATTGTATTATCACTAATTTATAAATGAAGTTTAGAAAATGTTTATACAATACAGCATACCCATAGAAGGCACGTGATTGATCTGTTTTAAGCATTTGATAAAAGTCATTTAATGCCGTAACTTCAGATGTTGCTTTTGTATTAACTAGTTTACTCATAACAACACTATCTGTGAGTACTTCTTTCAATGCATGTTTATGACCGGATGAAGAATGAACAAGCATAAATTTTGATTTATTTTCTAAGAATACACGTTTCTCTTGTCTTGTTGCTGTCTGGATCATAAATTCAAAAAATTGTTCACGTAGAAATCCAGGACTGGCTAATATGATACACTTGACGACTAAATTAAATTTGACAAAAAAAATGAAATTAAGGGTTTTGTTTGAGAAGCATCAAAGGATTTAGGTGCAAATAATTTGATCATAATATCTGGTTTGGTATCAAGATTTTTGTAGATAAGGACTGTAATTTTAAAGAAAGAGACTTTAGCGATAAATTAATGGTTCCGCCAACTTCAAAGACATATCATTCTAGTGGCTCATACATACTTTATACTGAATCATATATGTTTTGATTAAAGTTTCACTTGAACTGTGTATTTTAACACACGGTATTCTTAGTTTCTTAAAATTTCCTTACTGATTTTATCAGTTTTACTGTTATATTTACAAAATATTAACCTGTTGTTTGGTGTGGGGGATTTTATGTTCGATTGTACTATGGTTTTTGTGTAATAATAAAAACATAGTAGGATAGAAGTATGTGATTGGATACAGTCAGTAATTAAGAAAGCTTGAACTCTATTTCAGGTGCGTAGTTTTATTTAGGGACTTAGCATTACAAAGTTTCCAAGTAAATCAGCAGAGTTGCAAAATGGCCATTTGATCTTTGGTAACTTTACCTGGTGATATAGAATAGATGGAATGCGGCTAACGTTGGAATCCAGGACACCCAGCTGATAAGTCCCAAATAAAACGGGATGAGCGCCCTTGACTCATCTGCTAGCTACATTTCATCTGTTCTGTATCAACCTGTCATAATGGCTATATCGAGGCAATCCGCACAGAATGTCCACATACCAACTAAAAGTGATCAAATTTCAGCCAAAAATATCAATAACACGATAATCCAAACCATTTCAAATCGAATTACTTTACCTGTAGTGTAGGGATTCAGTCATTCAGTTATATGCAACATAGAAATTGGCAAATATATTTATCGATTCACATTAACACAACCAGATGAAATTGTCGAAGAGTAGAAGTAGTAATTGTCAATAGTAGTATCGGTGGCAGAAAAGACTAACTATAGAAAGAATAGAAGAAAGTATAGACTTTTCTGACTCTACATCTAAAGGTAGACAAAGAGTGCATGTATCTGCGCCGTTACGAACGATTCAGAGTCATGTTACCCAACATCTTCAATCACTAATTTTGATAATTATGCGCACCCCAACCAGGTAATCTCTACTTATCACTAAAACTCAGTCCAAAAATTCCAAAAATTTCATAGGCTGATGCCACGTCTTGGTTTGGTTGTTCATAGCTTTGTTTCACCTGAATCTTATACCAGGCAAAATCACCGGTTGAGGAAGGCGGTGGCTGTGGATATTTATTATTGCATATCCCAATCGACTCAGTAGGTATGGATTTACTACCTTACCAGCCGGTTTATCATTTTTAACTAGTGACCCATGCCTAACCTCAATATTCCTCACTCGACAGTTCAAACAGGTGAATATTTTTTCAAAGACACATGACTGCATCTTAGTAACCTAAGAACATCCCCTACTTTTAATGGTCACATTTCACACCTGTAAAGTGGGACGCCACAAATGACGCACGCTGGCAAAAGTCAACAGACACTTCTAAATATGTGTCGAGATACCATCAGATTCTTATCCACGAGAATTGATGAGAATTCTGATGTAAGTGAAGTCATCAATGGTCTTAAGGAAAAGAGCTGAACGACAGTTCGCTTTTTTTATATTACACTTGTCGTGGATGGGCTAGAATGTGGAAGACATACCTAGACTGTAAGTACTTGGTTACATGCGCCCTCAAAGTCTTATTTATGCATGTTGAATTCACCAAATAGGCAATGTTGATGTTGTATGCAGAACTACAAGTAAGTGATGAATTGGTTGATGGGATTACGAGGATTTATGAGCTGAGGCGATTAAGATATGCGTCACATATATTCAGTTGCTGCCTAGTTTAAAGCGCTATAAGGGTTATTATAGAAGTATGTTTAAAAAACCTTGTGATTGGAAAAACTAAGAAATAGCACCAATCTATGAAATTGTTGGCTGTTATTCATGTAAGAAGGTGCAGAGCACCTAGTACATATTCTACGTAGTTTTGTTTTATTTTATATATTTGTATTATCTCAGTATCAATATCTGATACTAATTCATGAATTCATTGACTTTTAGTTTAAGTCACAACTATGAGTGCAGACGTCCTAGTCAGGAATTGTACGGAAGTTGTAGTCGATAGTTTCAAATGTTAGGTTACATTAAAACAGACAGCAACAATGCAGTAAAATTAATTCTCTATTTCCTCTAAATCCTGACTTAATTATCATCACCCAACTTCCGTTCTTTGATCCTATATATTCCTTTCACAACAGTATCTTTCATGTTTCCATATTTCTATGATAATGAATATTCTCCCTCTTTCTTTTCGCTTTTTACTCTATCAATTTGTCCTAAGACCTACACAAACTAAGACTGACTAGCTGACTGAATTTATTCAGTATTAACTCATTAAATGATAGTTTGAAAAAGCGGTGAGAAAAAAAGTGACGGCATTAGTTAGAAACACAAATGTTATTCTTTTCTTTATATCCTTTTGAAACTAAATCTATTTAAAATTTGGGATGAATTATACAAAAACCATTCGATCGCTTTGAAATAACACTAATCTAAAATAAAACACACTACTAAGTATTAAGTTAATTAACCATTTATGATTCTTCATATTGAAAGGATAGGATTATTGATGAGGATTAGAATATCACCTAAGTTAACATTTAGTGATAAGTTTTGTGTATATATTCTGTAGGAGGGGAGTAGCTGTAGTTCAAATAGGAAAGTTATAATATCAAAGGATTTAATAAATTCACATAACTCATTCACGAAGTATCGGTCTTAGTGTATCAAGCTTTGAGCTACATTTCCTATGTAAGAGTTAATAATAGTGCTTAGGTGCTTGGATCGAAGTTGATGTGGCCGGGTTCCAGTAAAGAAGCCAATGTTTACGCTTTAACTGATTCAGCCACTACGAAATCATTCCACTAATATTTATAACTGAGGCAATAAGCAATATGATTTCGAAATCCTTGAACAGAAGGCAAAAAGGTATATAACACAAAAGTAAATGTAATGTGATGCAGAAGCTTACTGTCGAAACGAATGTGACGCTCTAGTGCTTGCATTATTTGTTCAAAAAAGCGTGACAGACCCTTTTCGTGCTGAGCAGTAGGTAAACCTGGACGTTTGCGTGGAATTGTAGTATCAATCTTCGCACGAACAATAGTTGTTGTACTTGTTATCAAACAAACATAAGCCAGGCCTTCATGCATGATAACTGCAGCAAGATCAGCTTGTTGTGTTGGGTCAGATGCCTGTTCGACAAGCATAATTGCAACACTATCCCATTCTGTTTTAGTGATAGTAAACTTTTCATCGATTCTAAGGTCTAATGTGTGGTAGGCGCCCATTTTGACAAACTGATTTTCTACCACATTGCGGCCTTTCAAGTGAAGTACTGAACCCTATTTAAGAAAAAATACTTTCAATATAAATTGCCAATATAATGTAGGCGATAAAAGACAAACATCAAAATGACCTAACGCAATCAGGAGATACGCTTAGGATGTGAACGCAAGACGTTTTGTTAGTTTTATAGAGCGAATGAGCATTTTGGTTGCAAAATGTAAACCTTACACTTTTTGGAACGGACTGTCAACTAATTCCATGAGATTCGAGTATTCTACCCGTATTTACCAAGTTTACTAACCACTACATTATTAATGATTACTAAGTGGTCCCACTTTATGAAAGCAATGTCTTAAATATAACAATGACCAAATATCTAGGACCAACGAATATTATGTATTTATTGGCCGTCATAAACTCGGCAATGAAAGCGAAGTCCTGATCGATGTGTAAAGCGGGACGAGGGTTTTAACACGGATAATTTAGAATCTTCTGAATTATTCTGTCATCAGCTAATTGACTATTCCGATAAGTTCAAATAGTAACACCTTTTGTCATACAACGCCGAAACGCCGTTTTGATCCTAATAACTTATTCGTTGTTAAGCACCATACATTTTGGAAATTACGTCAAACAAATTTACTTCGCAATGTTCTAACCATTTCAAAGACTTCCGCTGGTCTGAAAACAAAACCGTATACCTCATTTATTTCAAGATTTTGCTGTGAACATTGTTACTAAAAACTATGAAGAATGAATTGAACACCTAGTGTTAGCTGAGCCAAAGGAAAAACAAGGTTTCACGACAACTTCATTGTTTAAGCTCCCAGTCAAGCATATCAACCTCAATCCAATAATATTCTTCAATACCTGTCACTCATAGGTTTACACACCGTTAAAAAACCCTTGAAGTTCACATTTCGAATATCTGAATTTTAGACTTCACTGATTAATATAATGAGTCAAAATTCGATGAACAATGATGAGGAACACCCTTGATGCTCACCTGCAAATCGAAGTCAATTTTTTCTACCTCTATTGTTAGGTTGGTTCTCACTTGCTTCGTCTGCACGCTACCGGTTGCAGATTCATTCTGGACCTTTCTGACCGTAGAACATCTCATTTTATCTCCAACCTGGACTAAGTTGTACGTTAACCACATGTCCTCCTCATTTTCTGCAATAAGCGTAATATATCCAGATGAGTTTTTATTCAGCTCCCTGCCAATAACCTTCATCGTAGTTATCAAGACTTCACAACAAACTTGATCTGACCTTGAAAGCACAAACTGTGCGCCGAATTTTTGTCGTCAGTCTTCGGTTAAGGGCGTAAGTCAGTTAATTTTTCTACCTTTCATTCTTCAGTGAAAAAAACTTTCCTATACAATGGAATACATTTAGGAGTATGAAACATGTGTTGAATATGTCCTTTCACAGAAATTTCAAAAATCTACGATAGTGTTGAACACAGGTTGATACATTCTGTAAATTATAAGTTCTAATGTTGTCAGCGCTAACCTGAATAAAAAGGAAACTTAACCCATTATTACACGGCTTATCAGGCAAGCTACTAAAAGACTAAAGAGTAGTGCTACCGTCGAAATAAAAATTCTTATACATCTTTTCAAAGTCTAATTTTTTTGCACTTTATTACCAAAACTGATATAGTTACAAAACATTTGTTGAAAATCTCTGGTAACAGTATAGTTAATGACCAGAACTCGAAAGTATATCACTTTTGTAATCGTGATTTATGAATATGAGCTGATGCGATTAAGTTATGCGTCACATAATTCAGTTGCTGCCTAGTTTAAAGCGCTATAAGGGTTATTATAGAAATATGTTTAAAATATCTTGTGATTGGAAAAACTGAGAAATAGCACCACTGAGAAAGTGTGAGGCGGTGTAACTATATTTGTAGTGGCATTGGACCCTAACCACACGACATTTGAAGCCGAGTATATCATTACCAGAATCATTTATACTAAACAATTAACTCGAGGAGAAGGTTAACAATAGAGGACGCGGCAACATTCATTCAATTCAATCGTTTGGTATGGCTCAACCTTACAGGCGTGTTGGCTCTTGTGTAGCCTATCTCTTTTATTCATATCAAATATATTGTTCTATCTACAGCGTAAATGTGTTCTTCAGAAACGTCAAACGTTATATCGCTGATTGTTACGGTACGACGAGTCGGAATAGATAATGACGTGGCCTACACGTAAGGTCGTATAGATTAGGTTTTCACATCATTACGAATCCACAATTTACGATTAGGTCTATTATTAGTGTAGCACTGATTTCCGAAATAGACCGTTGTTCTGTACATTTGTAAACTTGAAATGCTGTCCACCTAATTTTGCTAGCTTTCAGAATAAATTGTTGACAGTTTAAACTTATGATTTCGTCCAAAACGCTGGAACATATGCAATTTTGTTTGTTACATACATTTACGTGACTCACGGCTTTATTTCATCTGCGCTGTTTGTTTCCGTTGATGAATTTGTAACAAATTAGGTTGATATGTTAAGAATTGACCTCAAACATCTAAGTATATGTCGAATCAATAGAGCTCCAGTATTCATTCAAATCCTTACCTTGTATGGAGATTATATTTCCTATTATGTCGTATTGTTTGTTGGAAAACTGTGTGTCTAAAACGGGTAACCTGGCGCTGCATTTTATCCTGTATCACGATTTAAGTAAAGGCCTATTCACTACTAGTCTGGTTATTCATATGAATAGAACGGGTGGTACATACCGACACGAAAAATTCACCGATTTTTCTGTTACTACTTTCAAAGGTTTGCTTTCATTTAGATATGGGGAATTTAATTTAAGTGATAGTAGCTTTCTTTCATCACTGTATCACTAAAATTCAGTCGATTTTCCCGCTCATTCGGATGTCCATTTAGAATTAGTTTTCATTAAATAGTGGCGTTGGAAAATATATGACTTATAAACGCACTTCGTTTTGTTCTGTTCACTGCATTATCAGTGTTCTACCCAGACTACATAGCAGGCTTGCAAAGGGCATGTTATTGTGTCAGGAAAAGAAAGTTAAATACATAAATTTATCAGAAGAAAATATCCAACATCTCAAAACATGCTTCATATGACAAGCTGGGATTAGTTTACAGATGACTCATTGGAAAACACTGTTGATGTCGCTTTTTGTGTTAAATTCTGCTTTGGTGTTTGTAATCCCACCGAAGCTATTTTCGTATGTTTCAATCGATTTGCGTTTCCAAAAGTAAAACCATTACGGAACGAAAATGAAACATTTTACACGGAGTACAAATCCATTAAAATTCACCAGCTAAATAGTTTGGTAAACCAAGAAATTGAACGTCCTAGTTCAATAATTACTGAGGAAGTTCTATCTTATTGGCGTAGCAGAGCCATACCAAACCGATCAATTGTTTCCATGTTCACCATTTCAAACTATCTCTATAATTTTATCTGTTTAATGCGGATCTTCTCAGTTTTGGCATCTTCGGCTTTGATGAATGTGTGGTTGGACAACAATGAAACTACATACATAGTATTGGACTCAGTTTGCTCCATCAAGTTAAGCTACCTCATCCATCATAGCTACAACATAGCCGAGTAATATTTTGTCGGAAGTTGTACGGAGCAATACACAACGAAACCAAATGACTGTACATGTGTTTGTCATTCAATACATTTTCGGTTAAGCTAATTGTTGGTGGTATCGTTTGTATGTCCGGATTTGAAACATTTATTCGGAGTTGACTGCCAATTATTTTGCCTTAGTAAACAGTTGTACTATGTCTAGTTTAATTGTTCATTCTGTCCCAACAACCTGTAGTAGGCATTTAACAGAATTATGTATTACGGAGAATATTTAAACCAAATAATCGTTAGAAGACCATTGACAAAGTCTCTAGACCACAGATGAATAGATGAATGTTATTACTTCTTGAACAGTAACGGTGCGTTTCAGAAAGACTTACCCCAGCCAGTGCACTCGTCAATCGTGTCATTCAACTCCTTGCCTCATCACGATTACTAAGGCTACTCCAGGCAACTCTTGAATCACCTGGCACGATAGTTGTCACCATCGAATCTTCGTATAGTTTCACGTCTCGAAAGGAATTACGTTCTGGTGATTTGAGTATGAGCGTAGCAACTTAGACTATGTATATAAACATTGCTGGCATATTACTTAAAGACATTCCTTTCAACACGATTCACGGCTTGACTGCAATATTCAGTGACTGTCTTTACCTCACTCGCTACCTAAACAGTAATGCAAAAGGGTAACAGTTGAAAAATCCATGGTTTCAGGGAGGTTATGCAGAGTAAGGATTATTTAAACTCCGGTTGCTGAACATATTTCTGGCAGAGGACTTTCTTTTGACGATTTTCGAGTGACTTCAACGTTCCTATTCTCTTCTTATCGGATGATAATTCTAAACTGGTTATTAGTATCAGGATCTTGGGAGAAGAATTTAGCTTTTCCGTCATACCTTCCGGGGGTCTAAGGGGTAAACTCCCAGTATAGATTGTATTTTCACAAACTTATGGATGGAAGCTTCCGACTTAAAATTCTCGAATCATCCCATCAAACAAACTTGTAACCACTAAATCAAACACACACTAGTGCTTAGCGATCTCATACTTGTGCTAATGATTTGGTGGTCAACTCTGTCAACTGCCAAACGAAAATATTGTTGGGTCATATGCACGGTACAATTATGTTCCACTAAGTGTTCAAATATTCCAGGTGGTCAACAGGCTTGAATTATATGATCCACCCGGGGGGAAATCCATGTTCACAGTTATATAGAATAGAGCATTCGAGTCATTAGAATCGAAAAGAATTATTTATAACCATTTCCATGGTCCTCATAATCTCTGAAAACACAGAAATTAGTCTGTATTTAAACGTTTGCCTTCATCTTTCAGCATACTACCTGAATCCTTTTTGGAACTTTGCACCTACTTTTTGGCAAAAATGCTGGGCGTAAAAGGCCTAAACGAAAAACTTTTTCATTGAGCTCTTGCTTTTCTCGAGAACCAGTTGATCTATTTGAATACCTTGAATGTGTTTGTTAGTGTCATGACAATGAAAGCGCACGGTTCGCTGTACTGCTCTCCGTCCGTCTGCAAGCTCGACATTCTGTCCTTTCATTTCAATAGATTCCCCTGAATCCATTTTTGTACACTAATAATCTCCACGGTCGTTCTTGTCTATAAATGTGAGAAGTATTTGTGATATTCATTGAGATTTCTAGTATTCCTTACTTTGATGGACTACCTCCAATTTACATTTGTGTACTGTTACGTATTATCCATTCGTTATCCCCACCAAACTGGTCTACGTTTTCCTCTATTTTTATTTCAGACTACTGTGCCCAGTCTTTAGAGCACTGCAAGTAGAAACTTGCTTGGATCTTAGACTTTAACGTACTAACTGAAGAACATTCCAATCTCATGTCTCACCAAGGAGCTGCACTTCAGAACTATAATAATGAACTTGTTAAATGTATGGTATTTTTTGCTTACTTATTGAAATTTAAGGCTTTGAAGAGCTTTGTAAGAGACGAGAAGATTTACAGCGACAGATTCAACAAGATGAAACTGAACGCGCTAAACTTCAAAGGGAGATAAATGTTCTCAATGATAAGCTTACCAGAGTAAATGAATCGTTGGAGAAAAAACTATCCACACGGAATGAGTATGACAGAACGATCGCAGAGTCTGAGGCAGCTTATATGAAGGTGCGTAATATCTGTTTATCACTTTAGTTTTATTTATCAGATCCTGGAAAGTTCTCAGACTCTTTTAACTGTCCTAAAAAGGGAAGGTCAAAATATTGTCCAAAAGGCAACGGCGAAAAATGTTCCGTTTTAGAAACTGAATTCTCCAGTCATATAAACTTGCAATATGTTAATTATTTGTAAATACTGTATTATTTACTACTGAAGCTGTTCATATGGATTTTGTCACCGGTCGATATTTCAAACTTTCAGTGATATTTTCAAGTCGAATTATAGTCATTTTGATAATTTTTGGCCTTGGTTTTAATAATTGAAGTTGGGTCCTATGCTTATCGAAAAATGTCTTTTGAGATCAGTGCTTTTAAATATGACCTTGGTTGATAAGACTTTCACATCTTTTACATATAAATTAGCCTCTCGCGTATAAAATCTCGTTTAATTATCAAGTCCATGTTTGAAAATTCAATTCAATATGTAAACTTACAGTTTATATATTTGTGTTCTGAAGAGAATTTTTCCTAACCACTTTTACACTTTATTAGGACCATATCTGTCAGGTTTATTGGATGCTGGAATTACTTTATTTATATATGGTATTCGCGCTTATTTGTTTTTGGAAGGAGAAATGACTCAAAGTCTTCACGTACTTGCAAGGCCGAAATAGCCAAACAAGTCGTTTAGGGTGGATATTGTGTGTGATGCAGTAGGGTAGAGTTAAAATTCCGTTGGAATCACTAACCTATAAATGAGGTTTTAAGAACTCAAAATACGTAGACATATATACATTCTTCATTACCACGGAATCCAGTCCAGGACATTTTTGTTCATATATCATCTTTCTTTATGGATGAATTTAAACCTTTAGGATGCGTCTCAAGCCGATTCTTGATCGTTTTTTTGTAGTTGAATTCAGAATAGGTGATTTTGCTGGTCTGTATGATGCGTAGATTCTACTCTTACGAGGTTAATTTGTACACTTACAACAGCATCCCGTAATAATTTCCAGATCATACTACAACATTCCGACAGAATGTATCCATCTAAAAGGTGTAGCGAAATGACCATTGTACTCACAGCTTCTAAAATTATCATCTTAACTTTGTAAAATTCGGTGGTTTAAGGTTTTCAAACTTGATCACTTAACGGTTTAGCTCGACCATCATTCATTTTCGCTCAACGATAACCATTCATACATATCGACTAATCATCTGCATGTGGCTTTTGAAATACCTTTTACCGACTTCTGATTCACTGGGCTAATAGTTGTGTGCTAATAAAACATAAAATTTGTAACTTTGTGCCATAAATGATTCTGGGTCTATCTCATGAGTAAGTTGTTGGTCCCGACCGTAGCTGCTACCTTGACGTTGTGGTCGGGCTTGTTTATCGTGATGAACCAACCGAGCTATATTGGCTGGGACATATGTTCCTGTAGGTTTTTCCATGCCAGGCAGGCTGATTAGAGAACGGTAAGACTAAAAGCAACAACTCAAGGTCTGAGGGCGAAGTCGTACTGCTGATTGCAGAGAGGTATGACAGCATTATGGTGTTCTCCTCGTGCATCCAGCATCTGCAGCAATGCTGCCTTCTCACAAAGAAGGAAGGGGTTGGAAAAGGTCGACCCTAGAAATGTCACACCTTACCTCGTGGATTTTCGTCTCCGGCACCACGGTCTTTTGAAGAACGGAGTTAACACGTTGGAAACTTTCCACAAAAGCCGTGCGCGACCGGCCTCAAGTAGTTGTCTCTTGGGCTCTGCGGTCACGCTCCCAGGTCTTTAAGACCAACACTAATCCAATTTCCTTTTCAGGTTCCTCAAGAAATACCCTTCCACGGTGTGGGCAGTCGGAAAGTGATATCAGCCCTCATACCCGTAACTGCACACGAGACCAAGTTCATCACACTCAAATCCTTTCTACACCTCCTAATAAATCTTTTATCTTCACGGCTAACTCTTCTCACGTTCCTTTATCACCTCGCGCTGCTAATGCCAACAATTTGAGTACGCGGAACGCCATTCCCGGTCTCCTGAAACCACGCTCTAAACAACATGTGGGAGCTTTTAACGTCCGAACACTGTGCCAAATACGACAGCAGGCTTCCTTAGCTAGGGTTTCAGGATTTCGCGCCATCAATGTATGTTGCGTCTCCGAAACGGGCATTCAGGATTCGAGTAGCATCATTCATTTGACCTCACCATATCAAAATAAAGAACCATCTGGAAGCCTTGGTGCTGCTTCCCGTAGCCTCGCTGGTGTAGGTATAGCATTGAGTCCTAGGGCACAACTAGCTCTCTTCGACTGGATCCCAGTAGACAGTCGCTTATGTGCTGTCCGACTAAACGGAACATTAAGGACTCGGAAAGATAGGGACACTCGTCGTTGCTTATTCGTCGTATCTGTCTATCCTCCCACTGACTGCAGCTCAGATGATGTTAATGATGAGTTTTACAGAAAACTTATTATAATTTTGAATCCCGAACAATTTTACTGTTATCTAGTGGGCTATACATTTTTGAGGTTTCACAGTATATTGGTATTTGAGGTGATATTTGTGACAGACTGACTTTCATTGAGAACACCAGTATAAATTGATGAGTATTCAACGACTGTTTCGTGCGCATCCAAGACCTCATTATTGGTTTAATGCAGAGTCTTCACGGGTCGCGGTAAGCAATCAGCCTTCAGACCGCTAAATCAAAGTCCATCTGTACTAATTTTCAATTGAGATCAGTGTTTACTGAAAATTATAAGGTAATTATACATGTTTAGCTGTGGAGAAGGGGTGGCGCTAGACGAAGAATTCATTGTATTCTGTAAACATAACCGTTCTGGCCTCGCAAAGGGAATGAAATATCATCATAATCTATGGTCGCTTAAATCGTTTGTTTCAAATTGTGATCAAATTGTTAGGAAAAGGAGAGAAAATATAGAAATATGAGACTCGAGTTGCTATCTTGTAGTGAAGTAGTTAGAATATATTAAACAATTGTTTAGTGATATGTCTATCCAGCTTTGTCCTTTACCGTTGATAGGTTACATTTAATTAATTACGGGTCAGCCTTTAGACTTTGCTTCGAAAATGCCCTAATTAGTGGTACATGTTGAGATATACTAGTTAGAATGCATTGTGACCCTGTATCTTATGAGTTTACGTAATTTGTGAGCTTGAATGAGTACACAGTCGTTTTGAACACTTATCTAGGTCCCAAGTGTCCTAACTGTAGGTTTAGGAATGTTTGGATTTATACGGCACTTGTGTTATATGGCGAATGCAGTGACTTAGTGGATTTACCACGATAAGTTCATCATTCCACAGTGTCCTGTGAAGATTACCACTTGATCATTACTCTTGTAACACTTTAATGCGTAAAATTGGCTGTATTCTGGAGATAAATAAATGAGATTTGTTGAAGTTAGACATTAACACCGTTGGATGGCGGCTCAGTGGTCTAGAGATTAAGCGTTCGCGCGCGAGACTGATAGGTTCTGGGTTCGAATATCGCGAGGCGGGATCATAGGTGCGCATTAGGGACTGAGGAGTCCCATACTAGGACGAAACGGCCGTCCAGTGCTTTCAGGTTTTCCATAGTGATCTAGTTTCAATTGACTCATGAATTCAACTACTAGATAACTAAATGCTTGAAGTATCAAATTGATTACAGTTTAAACTAGGTTCACATAGAAATATTTGACACAAATTGTTTTGCATAATAGTACTGGTTAGTAAGTATTAAAAATGCATTCGTTTCCACCACAGACCTACACCTGAATAGTAAATTCATATTTAACATGAATAAATTACGGATACCTACTATGTCAACGTTTGATTGTTAATATTGTTACTAATTAATTTACTAACACTAGTACACTACTTATAAAACATTAAGTAGTAGGAAACTTTTATACGAAAACTCGTAATACAAAAAATCTTCAGTTAAATAGTTTCGAGTTAGCTTATTAGAAATTCATCATTTTGAAAACTATAATCTAATGGGGAGTCTTAAACGGTAGAATAGCCTTCCCCAATTCTTTTAAACATTTTGTAAACATTGATAAGCTCAATTAACTTTGGATAGTGTAATAAGAAAACGAAGATTATCAGAACTACATGATGCATTCGTGCAATACATTTCTAACAATCTGATCACACATATAGTTGTTAAGTACATTTATATATAAAAAATAAAAGGTCTATTAGACAAATAGCGAGTAAGAGAAAACAAGGATAACGAAGAAAATAATAAGAGAAACAGTATGAAGACTCATCACGCTGGAAAATCATCTAACATTACCAGGGTAGGTTCAAGTGAGAACAAAAGGGGTTTAAATTTTCGTATAACTAAGGGTTCAATAAACTTCAGTATACTCCCTTTAACACTTCTGTACAACATCACAAAAACCATGTTAACTTTACTAATCTAAAAGATGAATTTCATTAATGGAAGTCATTTTCATTCTGGAAGTACTTCATGTAAACAATATACATTGGATATTTGCACCCTATTTGTAAACTATCTGACATTTGCTTTCTAAAAGATAGTCCCTACATATAACTCTTTATAAAGTGTACAACCATAAATCAATACAATTATTACCAATTTAAGACATACAGCTCTCTTATCACATCAAACCTTACAGTGTTAAAATTGTATGTGTTATTCTAAACTCCTTTGGATACAACAACTGATTGATATACTGTGGAAAGAAATCAATAAAGTTTTGTTGTTTTATGACTCTGTTAACCTTTATCATTCATTTCCTACATGATAAATTCTATTAGCTTAGATATTTTACACATAAAGGACAATTTTAATTGCTTAAAAGTATGAAATAAGATAGTTGGATATTGATTCTATCTCTTGATGTCTGTTTGGTTAGTCTTTGAAGGTTATTTGAAAGAACAGTATGTATAATAGTTCTACCGACTTAATAAATCTAATATTCATTAGTTAGTTATCTTATTCCAACGGTATTCTTTTACTAAAGGTTGAACAAAATTGTTTGGTCACCTAACTATTCATTCTCATTTATTTCCTATGAAGCATTTAAATACATTCTAAACATCCATTACTATTCATAAAACAATATAAGTTCAATAAATGCAAATAGCTAATAAGCACTAAGTGATACTAAGGAGTATCATGTACAATCCATTTTTCATTTAGATTTGTTTCAACAGTTGAGATCATGAGTCAATTAAAGATAAACCACTATGGAAAACCTGGAAACACTGAACGGCCGTTTCGTTCTGTTGTGGGACTCGTTAGATTTTATTGTTGTTGACTAAATGTTACACAGATCAATATCACTGAGATACTTTGTGAAAATGCGATCAAAAGCTTTGTACTTAAGTGTAACTTCTAGTATTTTCATCACGTAGAATTGTTATGACAGATAATTATGTGAAGATTATTGGTTAGTTATCTAGTTTTCACTATTATCTTTTGTTAGGCAACTTTTTAACATTTGATTTATATGTGTTTGTTGTTCGAATCTTCTCATTGATGTTTAAGGCTGCAACTGATCAATCGGGGTTTGAGTCCTAAAGTAAACATCAACTCTGGGATGTAAGTATATCTAGCTGACGAGTCCTAAATAGGGTGAAACGCGCGTCCTGGATTCTACAGCTAGCAACCATCCTTTTTTTAAAATCCGGTTTGTAGCTTATAGTCATACTCTTCTGGTTGAATATCATATATATAACATTTTTTCCGTTATATTTAATCTATGTACTTAGTCAGGTAACTATGGATGACATCATCTATATTCTGTCAGATTGTGGTTTACAGATGTATTATTTGAGGAGAATTCTCATTTTGGTCAGTTCAATTATTAAATTAATTTTACAAATCGACTAAGATATAGTAAAGGAAATACAAAAGCAAACCTAACCATAAGTTTTTGATAACTAGTATAATTTTATAGTAAGGGAGATATGTATATGGGTATATCAAGGAAATGAATTACATATGAGAAGTTATTAAAATTACCTTCATGTATAAAGTAGGTAAAATTGAAACTCGGATATAAGAAGCTTTGGTGAGACTATAATTTATGGACAATCTTTGAGTAACGTCAAAGTCACCTTGAGAGTGTTTACCTACTTAATATAGGGCTAAATAAAGGTTATAAAGCAGTTTGAGGAATAAAGATAATGATTGACAGTTGATGGTAAGGATTAGAATTTAGATTTATAGTTTTAATCACAAACTGACATCAGCTAAAATACCAAGAAGCTATTTGGACGAATGCATGAGTGAATTCAGCACCAAGATCCAAAACCTGTTATCCTAAATCTGATTGGTCCGTCCATAAATTATAGTTTCACCGAAGCTTAGTGGTTTTTATACAAACAAACAAAAAACGATTTGTATTTGTGAAGTTATTAATTTTTCTTCATGACTCAAATCTTAACTTTAGATTTACCGAATGAAATCTTGATGGCTGAGGAAATCAATCACAGGAGATGTTGTGTGACATAAACTTCAGTATTGAATATTTGCTCTTTCAATATTAACCATCACTTCATGAGAAATCAATGCTATATTTGTCTAGTTCCTAGTACTATCAAGTCCTAATTCGTCTGTTAATACAAACGATTTGTCAACATCATGCAGCTTGTTTGATTTTGAACATTCAAATCGTAGGTTAATTGGTAGAATCTTATCCGTATTTATGAATAAACAATATGAAATGACTTATTTCTGAATGATCAATTCAAGTAAATATCTTAATCTTTCAAGAGACCAGTCATATACCAAATATCAGAAGAGGTTTTTTTATGTATATTAATAGTAATTTCAACAGTTAAGATCATGTGTCAATTAAAATTAGACCACCATAGAAAACTTGGAAACACTGGATGACTATTTCGTCCCATTTTAGGACTCTTCAGTAGTATACCAAATAGTTTAGTGACTTCAGTACTAGATAACATAGTTTAGAATTCTAACCCAGCAAATCACTTCATTCTAGGTTATAGATATACTTTACTGATAAATAACATGTAACATGAAAAACTAGGTCAAACAAAGTATCCTAGTAATTACTTCTCAATCAATAATAGACATGTACTTGATTGTTGTATTATAAAGGAAAATATTAAATGGATAATATGTAATGAAATATCAATAGTTTAATTAGTTGACCCCTTTTAATAAGTGGAGTAGTGTATATACACAGAAGAATGAAAAGATTTCCTGGTATATTTATTTCTATTATTATTATCATCATTATTTTCATTATGAGTAGTATGAGTAGTGTTATTCTCAGAGGTTTATTACTAACCATATAAAAAAATTTCAATAATGTAAAATATTTCACCGTTAGAAATGTTCATCAAAGAATTATTGATAACATTAATGGTGTTCTTTTGGGTAATGATGGTGTTGTTGTTGTTGAAGATGATGATGAAACATTGTAAATGACTTAATATTTGTTTGAATACTTTCGATACATTGGATGACGATGTGGATGTTTATCTTTGTGTTTATGACGATGCTCGTCATCATCATCATCATCATCCAAGCTTGGTAACATTTTATCTAGTTTTTCCAGCCATCCATCTTTATAATATGAAGATGAACGATGATGATGCTGATGATGATGATCACGATCATGATGATCTTTATGACGATGATGATCAAGTGGAGGAGGATGTTGATGCTGATTCTGATGATGTCGAGGATTAGGATGATGATGTTCATTATGATCATTATGATAATAACTTGAATATTTATCATTATCTAAACTTTGATAAGATTCATGTGAATAAAATTTCTCTGTTTGTTCTATTTCTTTATGTCTACTTATTTCAAATTGATTATTCTTTGTTTGATATATAGTAGATGAATCTTTTCTAATTTCTTTATGTTCTACTTTATGTTGATGTTCCGGATGTGTATGATCATCTTCATGTTTTGTTTCTAATGATGTTTTATCAATTTCAACGGATATGATTGGAATTTGTTTCATATTTTCAGATGAAATTGATTCATAATGTTCATCATTTTTTTGTTTATTTGATTGCATTTTTAATAATTTCAATTGTAATTCTGTAACAAATTGATCTTCACAATTAATTTGTTTCTCATAGATACAAGTTAAATATTCTTTTAATTTATCATAGATCCATTCAGATGATATTGTCTTTGGATTATTATCTTCTTTAGAAGAATGTTCATGAGAATGATCATGATCATGATCATTATGATCATGATCATGGCGATCATGATCACGATGATGATGATGATGATGATGATGATGATGATGATGATGATGATGATGTTTATGTTTGCGATGATAATATTGATCATAATTTTTAAAATATTGTTCATAATTAACTTTATGTTTATCATAATGTTCATTTGATTTTGTTTTATATCCTTCATTATGATTCATTGAATTTGGTTTATAATCATAATATGATGAATCAGTCATTGTAAATGATGCTGCTTGAATTGCACTATGTCTACTTGAAGTACTATTTGTTATAGTTGATGTATTTGAAATATTTTCATGAGTAGAATTGGAATGTGTTGTTGTTGTTGTTGTTGTTGTCGTCGTCGTTGTAACTGTCTCATTCTTATTATCATTTACTGGTACTAGACCATAAACAATTGAATGGATCCAAGTTAAATATACAAACAATAACAAGAATGATCGTAAATGTATATGGAAACCATTGAATATGAACATTATTGAAAGTAACAACTTCAATTGTATATTAATGAAAAGAAGAAAAAAATGAAGAAAGAAATTAAATTATCTAAGGGGGGGATTTAGAAGTTTATCAAGTTAAAAGAATGAAATTTTATTGATTGGAAAACTATTGAGTTTGTTTGTTTTTGATTTACGCAAATTATCGACTTGATATAATGAAACAGAAACAAACAAACAAACAAAAAAATTAAACTTTTACTGTATCGATTATAAATGCACTTCGATGTCAGGGGGGTGATGGGGAATGGTGGAATAGTCAATTGTTAGTGCAATTTCTTTTTTTTTTGTGGGTAACAAATTAATCGATAAATGATTGAGATTATGGATTCAATAGATTTTGTAATGTAAATATAATTTATTGTATCTTATTGCATGTTTTTTTTTGTAGTTTTTTTTGGGGGGGGGGTTGTCTTGATGAACAAATAGTTTAGTAAACTATATTATCAGAAGGGTCTTTTGTGTGGAAATTACAGTAATTTTAAATCGTTGAGATTCATGAGTCGATTGAAACTAGACTGTAGATGCACACTTTTGAGGAGTCTTACAATAGAACGAAACGATCATCCAATGCTTCCAGGATTTCCATGAACGTTCAGTTTTAATTGACTCATGAATTCAACTATTGAAATTACTATAATATTCACAAAACTTTCTGTGATATTAATCAATGTATTCTCACTAGTAACTGGCTTTAAGAGGTATTTCCTGGAGTTATGGTGAGGAGTGACCAGTGGAGTTCAACCGGATCTGTCGTGAGATAGTAACTCACTGGTGACAATGATAGATATGTCGCTGAATTTCTTGGATTCGTTGAAGTTAGACATTAACACCATTGGATCTCCAACTTAGTATAATTACAATGACAAAATACATGATGAAATCTTGAATATGATAATATTAAAGAGTAGATATTTGATTACTCTGAAAACATTAAATAAAGATTCGTGGATACTGTCAAATATTAGCTTATGTTCTCATGTTGCCGTTAAATGTGGTCATTAATGAACCGTTAATCTATGAGAATAAACGAAATCAGAGAGTGGGAAATGATCTAGTGTCTTTTGAACTTTAAGAAATTCTCTAGAAGTAAGTTTGTTTTAAGGAACTGCAAACATTGATTAGTATGATTGTTTTACATTACACAGATAATCCGTTTACAAAATCTAATACTTAATTTCATTTATTTACCAAGTGCATATCTATGTACTTAGATCATAGTGAAGTAAATAAAGCGGTTTTCGAACCCAAATTCTACTGTGGTGTATACTACTTATGTTGACAAATAAAAGTAGTATATAACACCAATCAGAAATTGAATGTCTGTCAAAAGTAGGTTGAGAAGATGGAACTGAAGAAAACAAAAAGGGAAACATAAAGGAATTGAGAATTGGAAGAATCATGAAGGATGTAAAAGACATCTGATAGAATATGTGCAAATGAAGTATTTAGTGTATAGTTTTCATAATTTAGCAACACATTCTATAAGTTTGCATTAAACATTAAGTGGGTTATTCGCATCAAATCTTCGTTTACCACACTATTGCTTCAAAGCCGAGAACATTAAGTATTCAATTACGGCTCTGGTCAATAAATAATTGAGATTTTTACCTTTCTACTACTTTATAAAGCTTTGATTTATGATTAGATTGGCTCCAATTCTAGACGAATATGTTAGTGATGCTTGAGTTCTATCTATCAAGTTGAATTATGACCACTAGACTAACGGATTCCATATTGTGTTCAATTTCATGTCTACCACTACCGACCATCTAAAATGTTTCTTTTTAATAAAAGAATAAATCCAAGAAAATCTTAATAATTTATATAACTAAGATGCACAATCCAGGTTTAATACACTTTACCACCTAATCAGTTAAGTTTGTATGGATAGCTTGTTGGAATGAATTCTTCATCATAATTTTATTATAAAATCTAGATCAGATAAATGTAAAACTCATTATTAATGAGCGTGAATTTCATGCTACATAGGTTTAAATAGTAACTTCTTTGAATATCTGGACTATCTATTCCTGTCATCTAGATATCTCAACAAGTTATCTGTTTTTCATTTGTTTTAACACAATAGGACGAAACGGCCGTCCAGTGCTTCCAGGTTTTCCAATGGTGGTCTAGCTTCAATTAACTCATGGTCTTAACCATTGAAATTACTATAATATCAACAAAACCCATCAATATATGCTCACTAGTGATTGGCTTCACTCGGTATATCCTGGAGTTCTAGTGAGAAGTAGTAACCAGTGGAGTTCAACCAAGTCTGTTGTGAGGTAGTAACTCACTGAATGCAATGGTGGATGTGTCTCTCAATTTCGTGGATTAGTTGAAGTTAGACATTAACACCGTTGGATGCCGGCTCAGTGGTCTAGTGGTTAAGTGCTCACACGCGAAACCAGTAGGTCCTGTGTTCGAATCTCGCAGGGGGTGAGGTCGTGGATGTGCACTTCTGAGGAGTCCCATGGTGGGACGAAATGGCCGTTCAGTGCTTCCAGGTTTTCCATGGAGGTCTAGCTTCAAGTGACTCATGATCTTAACCATTGAAATTACTATAATATCCACAAAACCCATCTGATACATCACTGTATCTACGAATCTCATAACCCATTCGGGTGCGTTTATAAAAAGTTCAATGTACAAGGTATTATTAGAGAGATCGTGGTGGCTGTCAATGAACATTATTCAGATGTCAGTTTCTAAACTACTAACATCTAACTGAAGATCTTTAATTGGCTAAGTGAACTGTTTTCAATTCATACTAAGTTTAAACATATATCGTAATTATGGTGTAATCACAATTCAAGAATCGTGATTTGATGATTTACAAGACGATTGCTCAGTTTCATTACAAAATTTCAATATTTGACAATGGGATCAATCAAGAAGCTGGAAATGGAAACTTGTTGAAATATTTTGTACTGAGAATTCTATTTCATACCAAAAATACAATACTAGATAAAACCATTAATAGTAATAATAATACATTTATTTATCATCTTAATTGGTTAAGTATACATCTCTCAGACTTTATTGGATCTTATTAATAGTATGAAATTCCAATTGGATTATTGATAGAAATATTCAAAGGAATTTTGTAGATCTTAATTGGTATAAGACAAGCCCTCACTCGAAATCCTCAAGGCCAAAGGAGGGGAGGAAGACCAAAGAACACATTACGGCGAGAAATGGAAACAGATATGAGAAGAATGAGCAACAACTGGATAGAACTAGAAAGGAAGGCCCAGGACAGAGTGGATTGGAGAATGCTGGTCGGTGGCCTATGCTCCACTTGGGAGTAGCAGGCATAAGCAAGTAAGTACGTAAGTAGTCGACACGTAATTATGTTCAAGTTAATAGACATTTCATCACAATCTCTAACAATAAACATAAGATGAAAATAAATGAAATGTAACGTAGTGTTAAAGAAAATGTCAGTCTTCTTACTATTTCTTAATAAACGGACAATAAAACTGCTAAAAGAACAATGACTTTGATAATATTCACTTACTTACTGGGTTATAAATTAATATGAGGAATCAATAATAGAATTTATATCTGTACGTTAGGGTTAGGAATTAGATTTATGGTTTTCATCATGAACTGACATCAGTTATAATGCCGAAACGATATTTAGCCAAATGGATAGTTGAATTTCACGCCACTTGTTATCTTAAATTTGATTGGTTCATCCATTAATTATAGTTTTGCCAAAATCATTAAACTAACCTCTTTATACAAGGCAGAAAACTCATTTGAACAATTTAAAATTCAGTGTATGTGTTCCCATTTTATAATACTGCTCATCATTTCTGTTAATTCATAGGTAACTATTGAAACATACAGAAAGATAGAAGAAAATGTAGGATTTTTATTGTATCTTAATCATTCATCATTACTTACTAAAGAACAAAATATAACAATGATGCTATGTTGAAGCCTACTGATGCTTAGGCCGATGATACACAAGTTGTCTTGATCTGCATTTGTTGATATGTATGGGATAGAAAAGATAGGTCATCTGTGAAGTCCAAATCGCCTTATTGGTTCTGAGATGTCCATTGTATTCCGTGCTTTACCTCAGATGTTGAGGTCTTCATTATTCAGTCAACCACTAGTAGAAAGAGGAAGGGGAAGAATAGACAGCCTTGTCTGACTCCGGTCCTTACTTGGAATGCATCTGTCAGTTGTCATGCATGCACGACTTTGCACTGTAGTCCATCATATAAGTTGCGAATAATGTTGACAATGTTCTCAGGAACTCCATAGTGTGGAAGAAGTTTCCATAATGTTCTCCTATCTACACAGTCAAACGCCTTTTCATAATCGATGAAGTTCAAACCATAGGGAAACAAATGTGCACTCAATTATGCACTCAATTATTGTGTCCATTGTTTGATTCACTCAATTTCTTTCTTACAAATTTATTTGAAAATTGTTTCCTCATTTTATTTATGAGCTGCTTGTTTTACTCTGGAAATTATTTTGATTTTCTCTTATTTGAATTTATGAAGAGGGATTTTTTTAACTTTCGGTTCGCTTGAATTCTAATTGTCTGTTGATGATTCTGTGATAAAAGTTTGCAGGACTTACCTATTTTCATTTAAAAATGTAACATAAACCTGAAACATCCACAATTACATAAGAAGTATTTAATTCATTTATTTGTACTACTCATAAAATTGAAAGTACTTTACCTTTTGTTATGTAATTTCCATTCTGAGTAAATAATATTTAAACGATTTTGTTAGAGGAATGTGAATAAGATTGATTAGAAATGATAAAATTAGATTTTTTTCTGTGTGAAACGAAGATTCTTTCAATGGGTGAGAAGAGAATATCCAAAGTAAAACTAGTTTTCATGAATCTAGTTTAACTTAAGCCAATCCAATTCAGATGGGTTTTGTGGATATTATAGTAATTTCAATGGTTATGATCATGAGTCACTTGAAGCTAGACCACCATGG